CCTTTTTACTTTTTAAACTATTATTACTACCCCTTTTACCTCTTTTACTTTTTAACCCAATATTCTTTTACTATGTGCCCCCCATGTTCCCTCTTTTTGAATGGTCAAAAGAAGACATTATTATTAACCTTTTTCTTTTTGCTTTTATCATTATGTCTTGTCCTCCACCATAATTAAATAATATATAATTGGTTAATTCCCGTTTTACCCCTAAAACTACTGTTACTGCCCTGATTCAAAATCTGTTCAAACTTCAAAATTATCTAAGAACTTAAAATTAAATTACCAGATATAACCAATCCTTAATCCAGTTCAATCAACAAATTCAAACTTAAACGATGAACAACAAAGCAACAATCAGAATTATTTTGACTGAACGATATTTTTAACAACACATATATTTTCAGATTCAATAATATTAACAAATTGAACATAACAAACAAGTAGATTTGAATTTCTAAATTCAATAATCATTTGAACTTTAAACTAAATCCAACAACATTACAACCAAGATGAATATTCAAATTAAACCAAGAATTAAAACATAAACTCACATTAAATCACCGGATTAAGAACGAACTTCAAACAAAAAGATGAACACGAATTAAATCTAAACTAATCAACAAAGATGGATGATTCAAGCGATTAAACTAACATATTTCTATATTACAACTAAATTCTTTTAAACGAATAAAAACAAACCGAAGAAGAAATAATTAATTGAATTTCAACTTGAATCTAATAACATTAAAATTAAACTAACAAATTCTTTTAATAAATAAATAAAAACACATGAAACAAACTGAAACCAATTAACAAAACGATAAACACGAACAAAACAAGAATCAAACATTTACCGATTTTAGATCCGAGAACATCAAAACAAAACTACGGACAAAAATGAAACTTAAACCCACTAACCGGATCGGAACGATGACGAACTCGAATTAAAACAAAACTCGAACCAAGACTGCCAACGACCTAACGGATCTTGACTTCAACGACAAGCCCACCTTCCTTTTAACCTTGACGAACTCAAAACGACAAACGACGATCTCGACGGATTGAAACTGAAGATCGACGAGCAACAGTTGTTTATGGTTGAGCAGTGGCAGCCATGGATGCTGAACGAAGAAGAAGAAACATCGAAGGTGGTCATTTCCATGGCGGACGGGGAGGCAGTGAAGCAGTAGCAGCTGCTACAGCTGAACATGCTGGGCAGTCCGGGTCGTCCATGGCTAGACGTTAGCAGAAGAAACTGTGGCGAGCTGCAGCTCGTCCATGGTTGGACGTAGCAGGAGCATAGCAGCAGCGACGGGCAGCAGGAGTGGAGCAACAGCAACGACGAGCTGGCTTGGTGGAGCTGGGTTTTGACGAAGGTTTTCCGGCGACTGGAAGAGATCACGACGGAGGGCGGGGTCGTTGGGATGTCGTGAGGACAATGAAGAAGAAGAAGCATCAGCCATGGACGAGCTGTTGCGTGTGTGTGTGTGTGTGTGTGTGTGTGTTTTGTTGTGTATGCGTGTGTGTGTGTTATGTGTTGCGTGAGTGTGTGTGTGTTGTTGTGTATTGCTGTGTGTGTGTATTGTCGATGAGGAGTGGGAGGTCATTTGAGGGAGAAGGGCAGCAGCCATGGCTGCTTGCTTGGGGAAGGTGATGGAGAAGAAGAGGGAAAGAGAGAGGGGGGCGGATGGGTTTGGTCTAGGTTTAGGGTTTTTTTTTTGTTTTTGTTTTTGNTAAACATGCACAGACAAATACAAATAATTATCCAAAAATGTCACAAAAATTTTCAAAATTGCACGCCAAGGAAAATCGTTTTATTTTGATTTTTTTGGGAGTAATTCTTTCATAGGGCAAGAATCACGTGCTTACAATGATTATATTATACCTCGAACCTTCGTAGTTCACGATGATACCGATGCCGCGCAGTCAACAGTTGAAGAGCTGGAGTAAGTCATACTGATCGAGCACCTGCCCGATCGAAAGGTATACCTGGGCATGAGGTTAATCCCCAAGCTCAGGGAAAAACTCATTAAATTTCTTATTAAAAATATGGATTGTTTTCCTTGGTCCCGCCTTGACATGACAGGGATCCCACCGGAGATTACCACTAATCGATTGAGCTTGGACCCGAAGTTCAGTCCGGTAAAGCAAAAAATAAGGCCACAGTCCGAGGTTAAGCATGCATTAATCAAGGATGAGGTAACCAAACTTCTCAAAATAGGGTCCATTCGGGAAGTAAAATATCTCGAATGGATGGAAAACATAGTCGTAGTCTCTAAAAAGGGGAATAAACTCAGAATGTGCGTAGACTACAAAGACTTAAACAAAGCATGCCATAAAGATTCTTTTCCTTTGCCGAATATCGATCATATGATCAATGCTACAGCCGGCCACGAGACCCTCAGCTTTCTCGATACCTACTCTAGGTACAATCCCGGAGGATCAGGAAAAGACTTCGCTCATTACTAAATATGATACTTATTGCTATAATGTAATGCCATTTGGATTAAAAAATGTTGGTACTACTTATCAACGCCTAGTAAATCGAGTTCGAAGAACAAATAAGTAAATCAATGGAAGTCTATATTGATGACATGTTAGTTAAGTCCCTGAGCGTAGAGGACCCTTTGACATATTTGTAGGAAACCTTCGACATATTGAAAAAATACAACATAAAGCTCAATCCTGAGAAATGTGCGTTCGGGGTTGGTTCAGGCAAGTTCCTCGGCTTTATGGTGTCAAATCGGGGAATCGAGATTAACCCTGATAAAATCAAAGCATCGAAGACACCACATTCGTAGATAGCGTTAAGGTCGTACAGAGGTTAACATGGCGAATAGCTGCCTTAGGTCGGTTCATATCGAGGTCTTCGGATCGAAGTCATAGGTTCTTCTCACTGCTTAAAAAGAAGAACAATTTTACTTGGACCCCGGAATGCCAACAAGCATGGGAAGAGTAAAAACAATATCTTTCGAGCCCCCCGTTGCTTCATACTCCGAAAGCGGACGAACAACTCTAGTTATAGTTGGAAATCTTGGAAGTTGCAGTAAGTGGTGTCCTAGTTTGAGAAGAGCAAGGTACGCAATTTCCTGTCTATTATGTTAGTAGGACTTTAGGTGAGGCCGAAACCCGGTACCCGCACTTAGAAAAATTAGCGCTTGCCCTAATAAGCGCCTCTAGGAAATTAAAACATTATTTCAATGTCACCCTATTTGTGTTGTAACCACCTACCCCCTTCGCAACATTTTGCACAAGCCCGAACTCTCAGGTCGACTAGCCAAATAGGCTGTTTAGATTAGCGGGTACGATATTGAGTATCAACCCCGAACAACCATCAAGTCTTAAATCTTAGCAGACTTCGTGACCGACTTCATGCCATCCCTCATACCCGAGGTCGAAAAGGTACTATTGCTAAAGTCGGGTACATCCTCGGGGTGTGGACCCTTTTCACAGATGATGCTTCAAATGTGAAGGGTCCGAGCTAGGCATTGTTTTGAAGCCACCCACAGGCAGTACAATTAGACAGTCTATCAAAACTTCGAAATTGACTAACAATGAAGCCGAGCATAAGGTCTTGATTGCTGGTCTCGAGCTAGCTAAGAGCTTGGGAGTAAAGGTCATCAAGTCCAAGTGCGACTCCCAACTTGTGGTAAATCAGGTCAACATAACTTTTGAGGTTCGAGAAGATCGGATGCAGAGGTACTTAGACAAATTAAAAGTGTCTCTACATCGAATTAGAGAATGGACGCTACAACACGTGCCCCAGGAACAAAATAGCGAGGCCAATGCCTTTGAAAACTTGGGGTCATCGATCGAACTTAGCTCGGGGACTGTCGTACAACTTTTAAGGTCAGTGATCGAGGAAGGTCACGCCGAGATAAACTCCACAAGTTTGACATGGGATAATAGGAAAAAGTATATTGAATACTTAAAGAATGGGAAGCTTCCATCGAATCCTACGGATCGAGGACTTTTCGAACAAAGGTTGCATGATTCACATTGGCCGAAGATGGAACATTATATAGAAGGATGTTATATGGACCATTAGCAAAATGTTTGGGACCAGGAGATACAGATTACGTTCTACGAGAAATCTACAAGGGCATTTGCGGGAACCATTTCGGTGTCAAGTCGTTGGTTTACAAAGTCATCAAAGCAGGATACTACTGGATCAATATGGAGAAAGATACTAAAGAATTTGTTCGAAAATGTGACAAATGCCAAAGGCATGCGCCGATGATCCACAAACCCGGAGAGTAACTTTATTCAGTCCTATCCCCGTGGCCATTCATGAAATGGGGGATGAACATCGTTGGTCCTATACCATCGGCCCCAGGTAAAGCTAAATTTATTTTATTTATGACTGACTATTTCTCTAAGTGGGTTGAAGCACAAGCTTTTGAGAAAGTTAGAGAAAAAGAAGTTACAGACTTCTTCTAGGATCACATCATATGCCAAATCGAAATACCCGCCGAGATAGCATGTGACAATGGAAAGCAATTTATCGGCAGCAAAATAACAAAGTTCCTCGAAGATCACAAATTAAAAAGGATATTATCGATGTTGTATCATCCTAGTGGAAACGGACATGCCGAATTAACAAATAAGACCATCATTCAGAACCTAAAGAAAAGGTTGAACGATGCTAAGGGAAAATGGAGAGAAATTGTTCCTGAAGTCCTTTGAGCGTATCGAACGATGTCAAAATCTAGTACGGGGGCAACACTGTTCTCCTTAGTATATGGTGTCGAAACTCTGATCCTGGTCGAGGTCGGGGAACCTAGTGTCAGGTTTTGATATACAACGGAAGAGTCGAATCACGAGGTTATGAACACAAGCCTCGAACTGTTAGATGAAAAACGGGAGGCCGCCCTCGTTATAATGGCAGCACAAAAGCAGCGTATCGAAAGATGCTACAACCAAAGAGCCAATCTTCGCCACTTTCGAATCAGGGTCTTAGTTCTGAGAAAAGTCACCCTCAATACTCAAGACCCAAACGAAAGGAAACTCGACCCAAATTGGGAAGGGCCATATCAGGTCATCAATGTCATCGGAAAAGGGATCTTACAAACTTGGCACAATGGACGACGAACAATTGCCAAATAATTGGAACATATCACTCCTCAAATGATATTATTGCTAAGGTATGACTTTCTTCCTTTTCATTTGTATTTGATACTAACTTATTGCAGGTGTTCGATTGAAAACGTCGAGAAGTTCTTCAACACGAAGACCTTATATTTTAAAGCATGCATTGAACTCTTTTTCCCTTAGATCAGTTTTTATCCCAAATGGGTTTTTCCGGCGAGGTTTTTAACGAGGCAACAATTATTTGTGCTACCTGGGGACAATTCAATAGTATCCGAGGCTTCTTTACAATCAACCTCGAATATTGGGGGGCATCACCCTTGGATGTTATATTCTCAACGTATCAATGAGCCTCGATAGGTAAAAGTTTGTAAAGGGCCAAATGGTTAAATGAACCGTGTCCTTGTAGATTAATCAAGCCTCGATGACAAAACATGTACGCATAAATGATCTATTGAAAGAAGTATTTTTTCCTTACCATATGTTCCATGCCTTAGTGAAATTTCTACTTTACATATGATCTGTTGCGTAAACTAGCTCAAGCACCGATCGCAACTGAAACTCGGGCTACCAACCCCAGTACTCGGGGACTGCTGTCCAAAAATCGACATGTTCGAATTATTAAACTTCAAGAGCATAAGACCTTGAAAAGGAAACTCTTGGTTTCATAGGCTACAACCATCCCACTCGGGAACTGGTACTTCGAACAAGTTCGAAGTATTATTGAGAAAACAAGCCCAAAAGGCAAATCTCAAGTTAAAAGCTACATCCAAACTAACACGGTTTGGAGACGTTCGAATTCCATAATAAAACAGGCCTTCAAATATTTTCATAAAAACCGGTTAAAAAGGCTACCCACGGCAAAATTACAAAGGGTTTCGACAACGTCAACCCTCAAAAACCTTAAGGGGTACCAAATTGTTCGAACTCTCGAACAAACTTATGCTGAGGCATAATAAAGTTTTTCGATAACTCTAACCCTCGAGAATCTTGATGGGTACAGAGTTACCTCGTGCTAAGGCATAATAAATTCTTATATGATTCATATTTTTAAGCCGAAAAGGGAAGAAACCAGTCTTTTGAGGCCATATCGACCCAATCCAAAGAGCCTAAGGACCAATATGTTTTTAGGCTCGAGGATCCACCCTAGCTCAACCGAAACCTAAGGGTTTTTTCTACTCCGAGTTCGAGCAAGTACTCACTCAATTATAGAGACTATACTAGTCCGACTTCGATCAAATCGTTTAAGTTTCGGATTTACAAACAAATGAGAATGAAAATTTTGAAAGACAACAAAGTGAGTCAAACTCCTCACAAAATATAAAGTATATAAGGCGAAAAGCAAAACAGAGTCTTCACAAAACAGAAAATGGAGACAAGTCGGAAAGAAAAGGGATCTTTAAGTGCCCAATCTTTCCCAGGAGCCTCATCTTCATCCCCTCCACTTTCGGATCCACTCGAGCTCCCAAAACCATCATCATCAGAGAGAAAAGCTTTGGCTTCGGCCTCTAGCACTTTTGCGTTCTTGATATCTACAGTAAGGTCAAAGCCACGAGCATGAATCTCCTCGAGAGTCTCTTTCCAAGACTGGCACCTGGCATGCTCAGCAACGCAGAATGATCGAATCTGAGCTGCATCATAAATCTCCTTTGCTCGAGCGTGAGTGGCTTCAACATTAGCTCGGTAGGAGACCACGACCGCCTCCGCATCAGCCTTTACTCTTTCTGCCACAAATGTGGCCTTTGCAAGCTCAGCGGTCAATCGAACCTCGAGCTCCTCAATTTTCTTGGCTCGGGCCAAGCTTTCCTCCTTCATGCTTTAGAGTTGACATTCGGCTGAAGATAGCTGGGCCCGAGCAGTGTCTTTCTCCGATGTAAGGTGGTTCATGTTCTGCTTCCACCCCAAAGTCTATGCCTCCTTCATCTTGGCCTCCTCGCGAAGTTGCTCGATCTTTTCAGCCGTATGTTGAACCTGCAATATTGAAGTGTTAGTCGCCATCTTCAGATTAATAAAATGAGCTTCCAAAAAATTACATTACCTGATCAATCAGGTTGGTTTGCCCTTTGTGAGCTATTGCCAATTCAGCTCGGAGATCCTTGATCACCTCCTCTTTTTGTCCAATAAGAAGTTTTAGGGCATCCCTCTCCTCCTTAAGCCTTTTAAGGTCAGCTCACACCGGTTCAGCTCTGCCCGGGATTTAAAAAATGCTTCCCGATGAAGCTTCAAGGCCTATAAAGAAAGAAAGGAAAGTTAGGCAAGAGGAAAACAAAGGCAAAAGTAATATAGATAAAGGGAGCTAAGGCTTACTTGACTCAAGAGTCTATGGGCCTCATCAAAGATGCTCGAGGCATCACCTAGATCGTAAGCATCTTCGACTCCCGTGAAGCAACCGTAGAGAAGGTCCTCCCCTTCATGGGCTGTTCCCACATCGGGGGTCCCTATGGCCTGGGCTTCCTGAATTTTCCCTTCGAAAAATGAAGGGAGGGATGGTGAGTCATCAACATTTATTGCCCCAAGAGGCTTACTTGGGGTGTTCTCTTCATTTTAAAGGGCCTCAAAACTGGCCCTTCAGGTACGTCCACCAATCACCCATCACCGCGGGAGACATCTTCGGCCTCTGATGACTTGGGGACTTTTCTCGGGCCACCTTCCGAAATCCCTTCGGCCCGAAGCTGAACTTCTTCGACCATCACCAGATCAGCTGCTTTTGGGACCTCAACGCTCCTGTTTCGAGCCATCAACTCGTAGTCAGTATCTTCTTTTTCCTCTTCCTTATCTCGTAGCTTCCACTACATCCACAAGCAGGGAATGCGGTATCTTTCTTCAACCTGCGAGTTATGCTCTTCTTAGGCTTTGGAGTATCGGAGGACGAAACCCTTTTCCTCTTCTTATCCTTGGCTGGTTTCGAGGCCTCCTCCTCTTCCCAGGCGGGGGAGGCCTCATGATAGCATTGTCCCCGAGACCTGTATGAAAGGAAATAAGGTAGAAATAAAAAAGAGACATTTCAGAGAAGAACGTTAAACACATAAAAAAAGAGACTTACCATGATTTTTTGCCTCCCATCAGGCCTTTGCCAAATCACGCCATGCGCTCTCGACATATGAAGATGTCGATGCCAGTTTCCGAACCTAGCCCTCAAGGTTCGGAATTGCACCAGGCACCCAAGAGACCGCTGCTTCATAAGAAAGAATGTTGATGATAAAAAGTAAAGGAAGCAAAAAAATCAATAGAAGCTATTGGTGGGTTTGTACTTACACTTCATGTTCCATTCTTCGGAGAATGGCATATTCTCAGGCGGGATTATGTCAGAAGTCCTCACTCGGACAAATCGGCCCATTCATCCTCGATCTTTGTCCTTGTCTACGCTCGAGAATAGCACCTTTGTGGCCCGACGTTGAAGCCTTATTAATCCACCTCGATAGAGATGGGGATTGTACAGTCTAATAAGATAGTCGAGGGTGAAAGACATCCCTTCGACCTTGTTCACAAAGAATCGGAGCAAAATAACGATGCGCTAAAAAGAAGAGTGGATTTGGCCTAGGGTTATGTGATATTGGCGGCAGAAGTCGATAATAACGGGATCGACAGGACCTAGCGTGAAAGTGTAAGTATAAACACTTAAAAACCCTTTCACGTAAGTGGTAATATCCTCCTCGGGGGTAGGAATTACCACCTCTTTGTTTTCCCAATGGCAATCTTTTTTCACTTGCTCAAGATCGCCCTCGGTTATTGAGCATATGTATCTCGACATTGGCTCGCATCGACCAGGGACCGACGAGGGTTTCTCAACTTTAAAATTAGAAGTAAGATCGCATGACCCGGGAACACACTCTTCGATGCTTGCCTCCACCGGTGTTTTATCATCGGTCGGGCGCGATGAAGAGGCTTTTTCCTTTTGAGGAACAATTTTTGATGTTTTCTCCATTGTTATATGAGTTCAAAGAAAGAAGAAGATGAAACTTGTTGTTTTCAGAAAAGATTGACCTCGGGATTTGAAGAACCTGCATAATTGATAAGCTTGAAGGGAGTAGAAGAGTTTTTGAAGATTAGGAGAAATTTTGAAAGTAAAGTTTGAGAAAATTATGAAGATGATCTATTTATAATATTTACTATGACGGTTTGAGAACACTAGTGGCCGACCGTCAACTAACGATCATTAATGATTTTGGGAACTGTGCAGACGCGACGCTTTAGTCACTTCCGTCGCTTACGTCACGAGGGTGACGTCATAGTTGGTCGAGGTACAAATGAGGGGACTATTGGTATACGGTTAAAATCAGGCTTGCCCGATTTTATCATTAAATCAAGACCAGGGAATAACGTCGAGGGTTAGCCCCGTAATGGGTCAGGCCAGAGCACAAAGACAAGGTATCGAGTCCGAGAATTGAAGTGCCCGTCGAGATCAAGGCCATCAACAATCGAGACCTAATATGATCGACTTCGAGCGAAACGCAATAACGGAAGGGCGGAATATTCGTAACCGGTCGGAGATCACGGCAAAAATCCGGGAACAGATCAAATCAAATCAAGGGCGATTGTTTAGGTTAATCATGGGATTTACTTCCGTAATTAGAATTGTACCGTAACTAGGACTCCTCTGCTATATAAAGAGAGCCCTAATCATTTTGTAACCAACTGACAATTCATACAGATCAAGGCAATATAATATTTCTCTATTTCTCTTGTTTATCAACTTGTTGTTCTTTAACTGTTCTTACTTTACTAAGCTCGAGGGTTCATCAACTCGAGGGCACTGTCCAAGCATTGGTTTGTTTTACATTCTTGTCAGTTTCCATCACTTACCTTTACGTTTATCAATTGATATTAGGTAAAATCACGTATCCTTAAAACCAACTATAAGTTTAATTGTTATCCAGTTTTTAGGGTAAACAATATATAAAGTATCGGTGTATGATGGCATATTTATAAGGTTTATTTGAAGTTTTATAAGAGTTGATCCTAACTTTAAACACTAATGTTCGATCAATGGTGGATTAAATGATGATTAGAGATATAAATTAACGTCGTGTTATTATAATTGACGTTAGTAGCCTATAGTAAACATGGAAATGCTAAAAGTGGGTCTAGATTTTACTCTAAGGATGAGAATTGGGATTTGGGTGGCAAGTCAAAAATGAATAATTAAAGTTAACGGGAGAGAATAAAATACAATACAATCAAACCAAATAATATAGTTTTATTATCCATTCAAATATTATGATCACACAAAATACCAAAAAAGGTAACAACCATCCCATCAAATAACTTTTTCTTAATTATGTATCATACAAAATTATAATTATGTATTTTGGGTTCCAACTAATCTTAAATTATTCACTAGTCTAAAAAGGGGAACACTCGGGTTCTTTTCTAGAAACAAACCTCCCCCCCACCCCAACCCCCCACAAAAAATAAAAAATAAAAAAAATAAAAGAAGAAGAAAACGACGGAGGGAGTTGAGCAAACCGGAGGAACCGGCTGCCTGGAGCAAACCGGATGTTTCAGTCGAGCAGCGTAATTTGCCTATGAAAATTGAGCTTCTCCAATGGAGGTTTCATCATTTTCGACGAGCTTTGCGAAACTCCGATATCCGTTTTCAGGTTGTATAGTTTCTAGATTTACTGCTCTAATTTAGTACTTACTCTATATTAATTCAACAGCAATCTCATATAGTCATATAGATCAGCTGAGAGAACTCTTGATTCCGTTTTTGAATCAATTTCTGTTTGGCGCATAAGTGTTGTTGTATTCTTCTGTGTTTAACATTTGAATTTTCGATTATGGAAGTGAATTTGCTGTTTTGGCGATTGCCGTACTCAATAATGATTTTGGCGCCAATTGATGTATTCAAGTCTCAATTGACAAGCGTGAATTTTCTTTCATCTTTTTAAACAGATGCTTTATATCTCTTTAAGACCGTGGAACATCATATTGTGCAATCACTCGGTCAATCAATCAATCAATCAATCGTTCAATTACACCTCAATCCGAAATCCATTCCATCCTGTTTAGTGTCTGAATTTAGAGGCTAATCATAGTTAGAATATATTTATGCTGCCGTACCTGCTGTAGCCCTCTTTTTTATAGTATGAGATTTAGATTGGCTATGGTTTTTGGGAAGCTCAAATAGTCAGACTTTGCACGTTATAGTATGCATTCTTCAAAAATTATACTCCTAGCTTACAACAATCATTTGGGCTTTGCAGAGACATTGCTGACAAAAGGTGAAACCTTTCCTGCGTGGATTAAGTGTTATGCATCCCCTTCATCCACGAAGAATGCCACTGGAAGTTTACTCTGTCATGCTGAGTTTCGTACTCAGAAGTGGAGTCTTTTGCAGGTTCAGCTTCTATGGCCAGCTTGACTTATATAAAACTGACATTTTTGTTTTCATGTGACTAGACCTGTATATTAATCTAGAATTGTGAAAAGTTCTTGTTTTTAAGTCATTGATGATTTCTGTTTGCAAATGTAATTCACATTTCTTTTTCAGGTTTCATGTAGCCGAAAGAGTGATATTCCTGTCATAGAAGCTGGGTATGCTGGCTATCCAAGATCAATTTACAAAATATTTTGAATTTTACATTTTGAGAACTATTTCAGTTTTGCCATACCTAACACATTCTATTTGCTTCTGTCCTGGATTTGCTTGTTCAGTCTCCTGTCGCTCCTGTTATCTATATCAACCTATAATATTGTGTAGTAGGATCATACTGCTCGCAAGATTTCATATCGTAAACTGCGAGTCAATATTACGAGCATTCTGGGCCTGGGCACTTTTTTTAGTTTTTTTATTACTGTTTTCTTTATCAGTCATTTTTGTACTGCTAATATACACATTCTTCTGCGAGGCTACCTTTAAGCAACCTAAAGAGACCTCCAACTTGTAAGAGAGCTGACTAAATCGGTTATGAGTCATCTCATAGCCTGAGTTCTATTGTTTTTAGTGGTTTAAGCTAATTGAAAGAAGGTTGAAATTCGAATAGCTTCTTCTATTGAATAGACACTGCAAAAGCTTTTAATGATTCTGTGGCTCCATATACATCAATTTACAACAACAGTTTTCTTGTTAAATGAGCGAGGATAGGACCTTGCCTCATTTCTTTCGTCAATTTCCAAGACATGTCATGGTATTTATTTACTTCTGAGTTGGATAGGGCCATATGCACTTCTCTGGGTCGCACTCCTGGTTGTGGAAGTCAAATTATTAGCACGAGCCGCCTTGTAGGGACCTCTTCATAACCTAACTGGCTGATTATATAGACTGGGGATTCTCAATATAATTCATATGAGACCTTTTTAAAATTTTAATAAAAGAAAAACTAGATCCTCTCTCTTTCCAGGATTACTTGTTGACTTGGTTGCAGTGAGTGTCAATTCTGTACCAACTATGCTTTACTGGCATTGTTCCTGAGGCATATGTGCGGAAAGAACTTGCCAATGTTGTGTGGGGCTCATCCTTGTTCAATATTTGGTCAATAGTATGGTGACCATGCTGCATCACTTCATGTTTTTGGCAAGCCTAGTATTCATTCATTTATTCATTCAGTTCCGAACAGGCTCGTGGCAATTGGAAATGTAGGACCTCCTTAGATATGTAGGACTAAATCTCTCTAGTGAACTTATGGTGGATTACAGCAAGTATTTAATGCTTGCAAAGTAGGACAAGCAATTGGAATGGTTCAGGCTCCTTGGAGATGAAATACTGGTTACCACTATTGGGATGGAAGCAGCCACCAAGCTATGGACCCCTTTGTTGTTTTTGTGTAGATTGATCAAGCTGACATGGGAGTTTACATTGCTCGTACAATGGTCTCATGCTGGAATGTTACTGCAGGAATATTAGAAAAGACTTGAAGAGGACAAAAGGGCATCTGGAGTGATAGAGGTGGAGAACTAGGATTGAAAAATGATGGTATAGATTTGATATGAGCTCTACCTGCTTATAAGATGTTCCTTTGTATATTATGTGGACTACAGCTCAAGATCAGGCCACATCCATTTGTTTTTGACACTTAATATTGGTTGATTGTTTTTTATTTCTTGTATTTTTTTTGGCTTGGCTTGGACATGCCTAATCCTCTTCTCAGTATTATATCTTCTATAGTAGCCCCTTATCTGTGTTACCTTCTCTCTTATGAGTAAGACTACTTATTACGTAAAAAAGAAATCTCAACTCCGAAAACAAATCAGTGTCTAACTGGAACGATAAGATCAATCTAGACTGAGTACTTCATTTTTGCTCTTCCATAGATGATAGATACCTCCTTTTCTCTCATATGGTGATTTCATAAGCTATTAGTGCATTTCCAGTCTGTATGCTGAAAAATAAAGTCTGTGCAATTGCATGTCTCACTTTGCATGAGAAAAATCTGTGCTTCTGGGAGAGAAAAAAGTAGATACAACTGTGATTTATTTGAATAATCTGAATTTATATGTTTTACTTCATATTTTCTGTACCTTGTAGGTGCATGGATGACATATATGATGCTTTGGCCAAACACCTTGTTCCAACCGCTGCAGCAGCATCAAGCCCTAATTTTAAGTAAGTTATTATGCAAATCTATTTGATGCTTATCTGCATCTCAAAGCGGAAATTTGATTGCTATTTACATGTAATTTTTCAAGATAGCCATGGTTTATTTCGAATAGATGCACTTCCTAACTTTAAGGCCTTACTGACTGGAACCCGGGAAGGGAAAATGAACGAAAGAAGAGAGGATTCCTTTAAGTTTTTGCTATTTCTATTTTGCCTCTATCATTTGGCTTGTTATGTGAATGAGATGTATATGAATGTGTGCCGTAGAGAAAAGGAAAAATGAGACGACAGACCCTGCACTCCCAGAGGAAAAAGAGGAAGAAAGAAGAGGAAGATATACCCCCAAGAAGCGACGACTAGTGTGTATGTCTAGATTATTTGTGTACATATGTTACTAAAAGAGAGTTAACATCCATAATCATCATAGTCACTGAATCAGTAGGCGAGTCAATTTCAATAATAAAAATATGCATATTTGAGTTTCTAAATAAGAAGTTGAGCCATTATCAATAACATAAAACACATCTCTGAGTCTGCATAATTAACATCCATATTGACTCATTTAAAAGGGTAGAATGTATATCTTAATTTAGCGATTGTGATGTTTATGGATATAACCATCTACTCATCGACTCAAACATGCATAATTTTCCTTTTATGGATATTGATTCTCTGTAATTTTTTTATATTTGTGTTATTATTTGCTTCTATCATCTCCGATCTCTTCCCACTGCTTGTACTTCATGAATTTTATAACCATAAACTATTATTATTATTATTATTATTATTATTATTATTATTATCATCATCATCATCATCATCATCATCTTCTTCTTCTTTTTAATGACGGTGGTGGGGACCCACTAAGGCTTGAACATATGGGAAGAAAACACCTAGTATTTTTAGCCTCCGCTGGGATTTGAACCTGAGACATCATGGTTCTCCTCTCATATTATTGACCACTAGGCCACACCCTTGGGTGCAACCATAAACCGCTATTATAATCAATATAACACTCGACTAATTTCCTAGTTTGGCTGATCCCATGAGGCACCCTAATGGAGAACAACTTGCCTAATTATGCAGGCATATTGTTGGTCTTGCTGGCCCTCCTGGTGCTGGGAAGAGCACTGTTGCATCTGAGGTAGCTAAGAGAGTCATTAAGTTATGGCCCCAAAAGGCTTGTTCCTTTGATTCTCAAGTTGATCCTCCAGAAGTCGCTATTGTTCTTCCAATGGATGGGTTCCACCTTTATCGTCATCAGCTTGATGCTATGGAGGTAGGATTTCCTAATGGTTTTTTATTATTCGTAATTGACTTTTGATCGAAAGATTTGATCTATGTAAAAATGGACTAAGAGCCCGTTTGGATTGGCTTAAAAAAAGTGGCTTTTAAGTATAAGTGCTTAAAAGCACTTTTTAAGTGTTGGTGATTGTTTTATAAATAAGCAGTTAAGTGTTTGGATAAAAGTGCTGAAACTTAAACAAAGTTATTGAAGTGTTTGGTAAATAAGTGCTGGTAAGCACTTGTTTCTGTAAAATGACTGAAATATCCTTAAAGTTGTTAACACTATAAAGAAAATGATTATGATAATATTTTATTCTAAATTAATACATATACAAAAAAAATTATAATTTAGTTCATTTTCAATTTCAACTGATTGCCTAAATATAAATTATTTATTTAAATAACATGCAATAATCTATTATTTCACCAAAATATATTTTTTCGTCTCATAGCTTCAAATTCTTTGTTAACATGTAAACTCATTGAAAATTTTGATTTAGAATATAGTTTCACCAATTTAAAAAATAAGGGATTCAACAGCAATCTTTTTAAAAAAAAAAATGTTATGGAACCAAAAAAGAAACTAAAACAAAACAAAGAGTTCGGCAGTGATGGAATTTGGAAGGCACAAATTGGAAATGGCAAAGGAAAGGAGAAAAAGAAAAGATTATGGAATTTGGAAGGCAGGGATTGAAAATGGCGGAGGAAAGAGAAAAAGAAATGATTGGGTATCTTGGAAATTATACATAAGTATCAGGGATAGCAATGTAAAATACTTGGTCAAAGAGGGGTGGCTTTTAAGCTAGAAAAAACAAAGTTGGGATTACCCAACTTATCACTTTTGGCTTAATTTGGACCTTTTGGCTTAAAAGCATTTGACCTTTAAGCAGATTTTAAGTTTGCCAAACACCTCAATAAGCTAAAACATGACTTAAAAGCTGGGTTGACCAGCTTTTAAGCCCATCCAAATAGGCTATAAGCCGTAGTTGTTTGATGTGTGTCGTTAGCTGGTTTTGAGTTATCTAGANACCCACCCAAAGCAATACACACACAAAAATATAATTATTATAATTAAAGCAAATGGAAAAAGGAAAAGAAAGAGATGAAAGAATTTTGTGGAAGAACAGAGGAGAAGATGTAAATAACTTTTATAAGAGACGAAAGAATAATATAAAGAACCAACCGAGGAGCACATCTGAATAATCCTTCAACTTTTTTCTTTTGGATTACAGAATTATAAGTGAAACTTTCTACCAGTGTTGTAAATAGCGCTCGCCTCAGCGCTAATAGCGTGAGGCGATGCGAAGTGCCGGTGCTATTTGCCTCTGTTGCGTGGCGATTTCAAAAAGGCGAGCGCCTCTGCCTGTGTAGCGAGAGGCGCCCTGTGGCGTCGCTTTTTGAAAGAAAAAAAAAGGCAGCGACCATCAGTGTTAAAAATACAAATTAGGGCTTGAGTTTTTCTTCTTCTTCTTCTTCTTCTTCTTTTTGCTCTGTTGTTTGAGCGAGCAGCAGAGAGCTTTTTAGAGCTCTCTTTCTTCCTTCCTTCCTTTTTCTTCTTCTCTTCTGTTTTTTTTTGAAAATCTTGAAGAAGAGTATATGTTGCTTATTTTAGTTTATGAATCTACTATGACTATCTATTGAGTTTTTAATTTTTGAATTGATATATTATTAATATATTATTGCTATTGAGTTTTTAGTTTTATATATATATATATATATATATTATTATTTTTGTATAAATTGTCGCTTCACATCAAAAAGGCAAGCCCTTCGCTTCTTGCCTCTCGTCTCAGTGAAGCGGGCCCTCATCGCTATTTGTCGCCTCACTCTATTCAAAACACTACTTTCTACACATATTTCGGTTGGAGCATGCGTCTAGCGGACTAACTGGTTTTCTTATTTCATAGGATCCAAAGGAAGCACATGCGAGAAGGGGCGGTAAGTTCTCTTTTTCTCAGCTGATAGGTAGTAAATTTTTACACAGTTTAAGCATTGATTTCTAGTTTTAACTTCTTTTTCTCTCTCTGGAATATTTTTATGTTGAATCAGCTCCATGGACGTTTGACCCCAATTTACTGCTACAATGTCTTAAGACTCTTAAAGATCAGGTGAGTGAATATTCACATGCCTGATTACTTGCAGTTCCATGAACGGATTTTTTAGCCTTTTGAGTTGATCCTGTGTGGGCTTGAACTTTGATGTAACATCATGTTTCATCGAGAGAAGTGATGTTCCCCAAGCCGCTACCTTGCTCTATCCATGTAGGGAGAATTCTAAGATCTGGTATTCTTTCTTCTCCCAGGGATCAGTGTACTGTCCATCTTTTGACCATGGTGTAGGAGATCCTGTAGAAGATGATATCTTTGTGAACCTTCAGTAAGTTTACATCTATCTGGATGCTATTTTCTGTCTGTGATTGCACCCTATATTCTAATATGTGTCTCAATCATGTGTTCAATTGGCTATTTCGAGGGGAAATTAATGAATGGATAAATGAGCAAAGAAGATAAGTTTCATCACTTCATTTCTCTGAATTTAGTTGATGCTCCATGTAATAGTTAGAAGTGAAGTTAAGAATACATTATGAAGAAAAGATTGTGAAAGCTGGGCAATGTTTTAGATGTGCAGGCCGGCCGAGGTGTCTTTTATTGGAAGTGTTAGCTCAACCATTGTTTTCACTGTGATTGTGCTACTTCTGTTTATAGTTTTTTCCTACTTGTGGGCACTGGATAACCAAATTATTAATAGCTCTCTCACAGGTGTCTGCTGTTATTTCAATAATTTGATTGGAATACTAAATAAGTTTCTAAAGATGCAAAAAGAATAGACAAATGGTGAAGTTCTTTCGCCTGTTGCTAATTTTACCTCTCCCTTTCTTTTATTCTTTTTGTCGTCTTTTTTGGGATGAGTTTTCAGGCACAAAATAGTGATAGTTGAAGGTAATTATCTGCTTCTTGGAGATGGTGCTTGGAAGGAGGTATCTTCCATGTTCGATGAGAAGTGGTAAGATGATCTTTCTGATCCATGGTTTTTCTTTTGACAACAGGGAAAGAATCCCTGTGAATTTACTTTGAATCACCATAATATACTATACTGAATTTTCATGCTGAGGGATAACTTCAGTTTTTCTGCAAGTAAAAACTTTGAATTGGCATCAGTCAAGCACGAAAAATTTGATTGAGCGAGTGAATTGTCTTCGCTATTTGTTTACCAATTATGGCGACTTCTATCAATTAATGGAAGTGATTTGCAAATTAATATTAAGATACCACCAAGGGATAAGCNCGCTTTAATGGGCCCTACGTGGAGCGAATCCAAATTAGTCGAGATCCTTGACTTAGTGCATATTGTGATGCCTATCCTGCCTTCGAGAATTTTTTTACTAAAGCCATCTGTGCCGTGTGAGAAAAGCCAGCAATGTTAAGATTCCTGACTTAATGGAAAATGGCATGTTACTAAAACTAGGACAGGCCAGTTTTTATATTCAAATACTGTAGATATGATAAACTGAGTTTCTTAGATAGAGGTTATTAAAGACTGCTGGTAACAAGATCTGCTGACTCGTCAAAAACTTGCTGCTCGGCAGCATTATATGAGAATAAAGCTTTAGTGTTGTTCTTGATGTGTTAAGACCCTTGTCTTATATGTATTTACTTTTAGGTTTGTCGATGTTGATATTGAGAAAGCAATGCAACGTGTCCTAAAGAGACATATATCTACAGGTACATATTCCAATTGTTGTCAACTCTTTTTACTAGAAAAGGTGTAAACAAAACTGGGTAGTATAGACTGATTGGAGTCTTTTCATTTGTGTTGTAGGGAAGGCCCCTGATGTTGCTAAGTGGCGGGTAAGTGTTGCCTCACTGCTAATATTTTCCTTTTGAAAAAAAAGACACCAACAACAACAACAATAAACCCAGTGTAATCCCACAAGTGGTGTCTGGGGAGGGTAATGTGTATGCAGATCTTACCCTATCTTGTGAAGGTAGAGAGATTGTTTCCGATATACCCTCGATTCAAGTAACATTGAAAAAAAGTAACAAACAATAGCAATAAGATAATAGGATAATGGAAGCGAACGACACAACGTGTAATAATAAAGATTCAAGAATAAGAAAATACAAGAATAGTGCAAGTACTACAGGTAAGACTAGGAGAAACTCTCGTCTACTTTGTCAACCTTCAACCCTAGTTCTCGACCTCCACACCTTTCTATCGAGGGTCATGTCATCGGTAAGGTGAAGCAATGACATGTCCTGTCTAATCACATCTCCCCAGTACTTCTTTGGCCTACCTCTATCCTTCCTTAGACCCGTCATGGTCAACCTCTCTCACCTCCTAACCGTGGCATCTATTTTCTCATATTCACATGCTCGAACTATCTCAACCTCGATTCCCGCAACTTGTCCTCTACGGGGATACTCCCATCTTGTCCCCTAATAACTTTGTCCCTAATCTTATCTTTACTGGTATGTCTACCATCCATCTCAACATCCTCATTTCTGCCACTTTCATCTTCTTGATGGGATCCGTTTTTGGAAAAAATAAAAGTAAAATAAAAGGTTCAATGTTAATCCCTTTTAGGTATCATGTGGGTCAATTCCTATTGTTCCTCAGGTATTAAATAATTTTTTGGCTGTTCGTTGCTAAAATCTTTCCGCAGATAGATTACAATGACAGGCCCAACGCTGAGCTAATTATGAAGTCCAAGAAAAATGCGGATTTGGTGATCAAGTCAGTGGACGAATTGAGGTGATTCCCCGACTCATTACCTGCAGTGAAAGTAAATTCAACAGTAAAGATGTTTGTCTGAGAGGAAATTTGAATGACGGTGTCAAAAATAAGCAAAATCGATTTTTACGGATTGGGTTGAATCTGAAACAGCGTGTGCAGGACCTTGCAGTCTTGCTTGCATTTATGCTTGAGGTAGTTAATAAGTTTAAGGGACTGAAAATAATGGTTATACTTTTTCCTGCAAAATAAGATGGAATCCTTCTGGCATGTAACGCTGAAGATAGGTAAGTTTACCTTTTATGAGTTCATTTCTTCCCGAATTTTGTAAAGACTTGATCAATACCAGTGCAGGGTGATCAATACCAGTGCAGGGAGCCTCCTGCTTGCTACTGTAGATGACAATGAAATAAAAGGATACATTTATATGTACATCATTTTCTATTTAGTTATTTTTGGTGGAGTTGATGGCCACGGGCTGGGATGGTCACAGAAAACAAGGAGATTGATTTAGGACAGTGCACATGAATTTATTCACTCAGTGAGAGAATTCTCATTATAGCAAAAGAATTGTACAAAGGAAAAACGAGGGATTTGGCGATTTGTGGAGGGAGTTCTAAACAAGAACAAAAGCCCAGTGCGCAAGTGTTGAGCTTTCTGTCCTGGACATTAACTAATACATACTGTCCATAATAATACTACTTGTATTAACACAGCATCCTGCTCAGTTCATAGTCTGCATTTAGTCGATACTTGTGTCATGCGTTCAGCTTCTGTTCTTGCGTTTCTCCTGTGCTGAAGCTCAGAGAATAATGATCGGATCTAAATATATCATCAGACATCCTAATCTTACAAAAATATATAAACGGACTCTAAGTCAACGACCCATTTGATCATCGTGTTCACACACTGTTCTTCCAACCCATCAGCTTCTGTTCACTCACTCTTCGACAGAGTGTCTCTTGAGGAAAACGTGGCTAAGTCATTAAGCTGGATTTCCAATCTTGTTGGGGTTACTGTTTGATCTCATCACGGGCTCAGATTATCTTCTCATGCATTGATCTTTTTTCCCTTCCCTAATTAATCTCTTTTTTTCATTTGTCTCAAAGTTATGTTGCTTTTTCTTTTTCTTTTTCATTTTCCAAAGGGCAGCCTAAGAATGGGAGTGAGCGTCGTCCTTTGAAGCTTTTGCACGTTGAAGGAACAAAGTAGCAAAGTGGTGCTTTCAATCCAAGGATTAACTTGCTAGCTTCTACACATTTGATCTGCAGGATTGCTTCTATTTTTGGGCTTCTGACATAATTGGGGGAGAAATCCAAAAATAGTCATTTTTATGAATGGTCATTCAAACATAGCCACAGTTTCAAAAGTAATCGAAAGTTAGCCACTTTTCATGTAAGGATAAATCACATGAAAACACTGAAGGAAAATATTTTATTATAAATATCTTTCTGAAAGCTCTCTACAATTCTCACAAATTTCCACACGTAAAATAAGCTATCAATAGCCCTATTTATAATCGTATGAAACTTATTTCAACTAGAAATATGAAAGCCTATTCCTACATTTATTCTAACTGCAATTCCTATTTAGACATGAATTAAATAAATCAAATCCTAAATAATTAAGATTTCCTACTACAACTTTGAATTAGTTTTCCAACATTCTCCCGTAATTCAAAGTTGTATATGTCTGACTTGTTCGTCGTGTAGTTATGTTGGAGCACTTCTCTCCAACTCTCACTTTTGATGAAGCACATGTCTTTATCCTTCGATTTGTTGAAACACCTCTCTCCAACTCATGTTGATGCACTTTGTCACCAACACTCAATTTTTGTTGAAGTACCTGTCTCCAACTCATGTTGATGCACTTTGTCACCAACACCCAATTTTGTTGAAGCTCCTGTCTTCAACTCACGTTGATGCACTTTGTCACCAACACCCAATTTCGTTGAAGCACCTGTCTCCAACTCACGTTGATGCACTTTGTCACCAACACCCAATTTCGTTGAAGCACCTGTCTCCAACTCACGTTGATGCACTTTGTCAATACCCAATTTTGTTGAAGCAGTCTTGTCTCTAACTCCCGCTGATTCACTTTGTCACCAACACCTACCCGATTTTGTTGAAACACATAACAACTTCCAACTTTTTTAAACCTCTCTCCAACTTTTAAAGAAGAGTTTCTTCATCTTGTGCCATATTTTTTTGCACCTCTTTAAACTTATTTTTTTTCTTGAATCTGTCTTGAAACTTTTCATCGAATAATCTAGTTTTGTTGACAACTATCTATGATTTTTGCCAACATAATTTTTGGCCAGACGGGCGGCACACATTGGCTAGCGCCGCCCGCCGGCAGCGGTAGCTACTTGATTCTCTCCCAAGAAATATGAAGGAAAGTATTTTATATTAACTCTTTGAAAGCTCTGTACAATTCTTTATTTCCTTCACACATAAAATAAGCTATCAATACCCCTATTTATAATAGTATGAAACCTATTTCAACTAGAAACATGAAAGCCTATTCCTGCATTTATTTTAACTGCAATTCCTATTTAGACATGAATTGAATAAACCAAATCCTAAATAATTAAGGTTTCCTACTACAATTTTAAATTAGTTTTCCAACAAACACTGTTTAAAATTCGGAAAATACTCCAGCATAATATACTGGAGTTCTAGCATAAGTATACTAGAACTCCATCATATTATAATGGAGATCCAACATAAGTATACTGGAACTCCAGCATAATATACTGGAGTTCCAATATAATATACTGGTCCAGCATAATATGTTGGAAGTTCATACACAGGTGCTCTAATCTCCAGTATATTATGCTGGAACTTTCCACGTGTTGGAGTTCCAGCATAATATGCTGGAAGTTCATACACAGGTGCTCTAATCTCCAGTATATTATGCTGGAACTTTCCACGTGTTGGAGTTCCAGCATAATATGCTGGAAGTTCATACACAGGTGCTCTAATCTCCAGTATATTATGCTGGAACTTTCCACGTGTTGGAGTTCCAGCATAATATGCTGGAAGTTCATACACAGGTGCTCTAATCTCCAGTATATTATGCTGGAACTTTCCACGTGTTGGAGTTCCAGCATAATATGCTGGAAGTTCATACACAGGTGCACTGAGCCCCAGTATATTATGCTGGACCAGTTCCCGTTGCAGCAAAATAGTGGCTATTTTCAATGACTTTGTAAATGCTGGCTACTTTTGAATGACCAGTCCGAAAACCGGCTAGCCCATGCTATTTTAACCATAATTGGCCGCCCGGCCAAAACGTCTACAATCGCTAGCCAGTATTTAATATAGCACTTTGTAGTAAAAAATATACTTACATTGGCTAACATGTGAAAAGTGAAACTCAGCGAGTACTTTGAAGTTTGAACACGTGAAACCCCTTTTCCAGAATCACTTAAACTTAAAACTACAAATGCTGATCCACTTTTTAGTACAAACCGAATTTAAGCAGAAAAATAATTGGTTCAGATTGCAACTCTTTTTCATTCTCTGTTACCTCAAGTTTCCTTCATCACCCACCTCCAATACTCAAATCTCCATAGGCTTTCACCTGTTTCTTTATCCAACGCATTTTCTAACACTTCTTTTCTTTTTAAACATATATGTTCACCCCTCCCTATATTTTAATAAATATTATAATTTCAACTATAATTTAAACTGTATTCTTCGAGTATTTAAAGTTTGGGGATTAGAATTTGGTTTTCAAAGGTTGACCGCAGATGAAGAAAATAAGAATAAAGCCAGGCCAGTGTATAAACAACTTTTATAAATTATGTAAATAGTGTATACACTCAGGAGACACAATACGTTTGAAACACACTAAGAATACATTGCCAAACTCAGGAAATACCGTAAATAAAATATTTATATACTACATAACAATAAATATACAGCTTCTATACATATTTAACGGTTTATATACAATTGTTATACAAAAATACATTTGCACAATATGTATCATTTGTGTATAAATTGTGTATAAAAATGTATATGTACACTTGTATACATCGTGGATAAAAAATTACCTTTTCCTTATATTGTAAAACAGTCCATACACTTCGGATATACAAAAGTGCTCAGAATACACTAATGATACATTAGGGATACGATACACTGAAAAATGCAGGATACACTTTATATATAAATTTTATACTATATATAATAATGTATATACAATTTCTATACACTATCTAATAATCTATATACATTTTTTATAAGCACATTGTTATACAGAATGCAATATGTATACATATAACAATGTAACTACTATTTTTATATATGTATTGTCTATATACAAATTTATATGAAATTATTACCTGTAATTTGCAATCACCATTAAAATCTCAACCCACTACCAATACCCACTTCAAAAGTTCTTTACTGACAAAACACCACTTGGACCAGAAAAAGAAGAAGAAGATGATGAAGAAAAAATCACAAGCATAAAAATAGAATGCCACTATACAAAAATATACAAAATAGACTGTCACTATACAAAAAATATACTGAATAGACTGTCACTATACAAAAAATATACTGAATAGACTATCACAATACAATTATATAAAATAGACTGTCACTATACAAAAAATATACTGAATAGACTATCACAATACAATTATATAAAATAGACTGTCACTATACAAAATAGGCTGTCACTATACAAAAATTATATACAATAGATTGTCACTATACAATTTATATACAATAGATTGTCACTATATAATTTATATACAATAGATTGTCACTATATAAAAAATAAACTAAATAGAATGTCATTATATAAAATATATACAAAATAGACACTCACTATACAAAAAATATACTAAATAGATATTTTGGACTATTAGATGTAATATATTTGGGCCGGAGGAACATTTCGGGTCAATGAGACAAACATGAGCTACTTTGAGGTGCTATATAAGGTCATTTTCTGTAAAAGCGTGTAATAGCCACTAATTAAGGGAGTCTTTAATTTTTATCCACTAATTATAATGTTCAGCAAAAATAGCCACTACTAATAGGAAAAAGACAGTTTTACCCTTTCTTCAATTCTTATATTCCCAAACCCTTATTTTATTCATTCAGAAGAGGAAAAATTTGAGAGCGAATATTTCAGGGTTTTCGTGTGTTCTCAGCATCTGTATCATCCTCGCATGCAAACGAGCTGCTGTTATTTCTCCTTCTTCATCTTCTCTGTCATCTTCTCTGCATCGAACGATTGAACTGGTAATTTTTTTTTCTTTTATGCATTTTTATTTTTGTATATGTGTAATCACGATCAATGATGTGTCAAGTATGTGTGAAATTTCAAAAATGATCATTATAAGTTGATTCAGTGTCGGAGAAGTATCATATTTTTGTGATGATGTTATTCAGAACTTTTTGGTATTGAAA